TGGGGTTGTGGCCTCCTGGATTGCTTCAAACAAATTGAGGCTCCTTCTGTACCACAGTCTACCACCTACTCATCTGCAGATGGAGCTTCTGATCCCTTGGGGTCCTGTGAGTTCTGTACCTCCACATTCTCTGTGTCTTGGCTTCCTGATGTCCAGTGATGTGCCAATATTCTCCTCCAACTTAGTGTCTGGATTCCTGGTTAGGGCCATAAAGTTCAACATTAAGGACTGAAGTGATTACATTTTTATTTGAATTAAAATCTTTTATGTTGTGCTTCTCTGCAGAAACTATATAACGGCAGTAAGAGCATCAGGAAAATGTTCGGTATCTCTTTGATCCCACGCGTACACAAATCAGCTAAGGCTTGTGGAAAGAATTCTCAGAATTTTCAGGAACCTTGTTTAAGTTTATCGCAGTTTGACTCGACTTCTGTTGCTGTTAAGGAATATTCTTAGGTAACTCCTTTTCTTGCCTCCCCAAAGTCGAGTTGAAAGGTCTTACCTGTAGATTGCGGAAGGATGCAGTTGGCCCATAGCAAAAAAAGCCATTATATACACCTGATTAAAGCTTCTTGCAACAGAAATATGAACTGCAACTCTTTGTTGCACAATTGTGACTCACTAAGTGCACTCTGGCAGAACAACTTGCAGTAATCATCTTGTGAAAGCCCATTTTATTCCTCCTGTATCTTCATGTTTCTTTTTTACTTCCAAATTGTCTTTAAGGTCAGGGCCAGTGAACAGTGCTGAGGAGAACTCCCTCAATGTTCCAGGTAAGTACAGTTTGTCATTTTATTGGAAGGACTAGCAGTAAAGCCCGTTGTGGAAATAAATACAACGGGATCTAGAAAGAGGCTCTGGGGGAGTGCTCTGGCTTTGGGCAAACAGTGTCATTTTGCTGTGGTGACCGCAGCAGGGTGTAATGACAGAGTCCACTGTTTTCTCCAGAGGAACTGATGAGCAGTTGTAATTTTGAGTGATGCGGCCATAGGGTCCACCCTCCAGAGCAGCCATTTTCTCCAGGTGAACTGATCTCTGTCACCTGGAGATCAGGTATAATCCCAGGAGATTTCCAGCTACTACCTGGAGGTCACAAAAGTAGAGAGATCATAGGATAGGTTGTCAAACTAAGCAGACATCCAATGAAAAACAACAAAAATAGCAATTTATATAAACAACTACATTTATGTAATAGATATCTCAATTACTATGCATCAAAAATTCAACCATCTTTTAATGTCCCTTATAAACTGCTGATACAGTCACATTCATCCATTCAACAAGTGAACTCCATATATTCCAACCATCGAGTGTCCATGCTGTGATATGACCTTGTTGAAAACTGGAAGCAACAGAGGTTGTCAGCCGACTTATCTTCCGTTCTGTGCTTCCACAAGGCTCACAAACATGACTCCAACAGGCCAGCTATAATGTCTGTTTCACACAGGCTTCTTCATGGGAAATCATGAACTACAAGCTTCCAAGATTCATCCAGTTAAGGGTGGGTGGTCAATCCTAGGTTTCCAAAACAGCAACAATTGCCAAAAATTTTCTTGAGGTATCTATTGCATTACATAAATTTAGTTGTTGATATAAATTGCAATTTTCACTATTTTTCACGGGGTATATACTTACTTTGGCTACCTGAAGGTTGGCAACCCTGCTTACAATGTACACAAGAAAACTTAGGGGTGTCTCTGTTTCCCAGTAGAGGGCATGCTCAGCAACCTTCCACAGGCTAGGCTGGAGAATGCACATCACTGCAGAGAAACCTAAGTGTGTCTTACCCTTCCAGTATGACTTTTATGTGCCTTTTAAGTAACAGTGGAAAAAAGTACTGAAACACAACAAATGCATTCTTGTCTTGTCACTTCTGAGCAGGTACAACAGCATATGAATTCATATGTCCACACAGGGAAAAAAGGAATTGAAAAATCCATTGATGGGATACTGAAATTTTTTTAAGTTGAGAGCTGTATGTAACCACTCATGGTGTTCTGTTATGGTCTCTTTTGAGCCTATCTTGCAACAGGTTTTCTCTGGCTTTGTTAATCTGGCCCTTGACTTCATCAGGTGGATATTTTAGTTCCAAAAAGATTTGTTGTCGATCCCTCAGATGAGAATCTCTGTCTGTAGGACTGGAACAGATGTGGCTGTAGTGCAATGGATTGTTTAGTATGTTTAGAACAGTAGCTGGAAGTGTATAGACATGTTTGTTGGTCAATAGGTTTCTGACATAAGGGGAAATGAGTTCCTTGCACATTTATTGTAGGTTCCAGCAGAGAAATTTATACTTAATTTTGGTGGATTCAGACAAAAAAAAGCTAACTCTGGGCTTATCTATAGACATAATTAGCGGCCAGCAATTCCTAAATGGCCGTCACTCCCCTAAAATAAGGGTCCCTCCCTTCTAGAGTCACCTGCTAAGGAAGGTGTTTCCTAGGTATGAGATTTATCTTATTTGTGGCCACATTCAGACATTAAACAAATTTGGGCCTGATGAACACAAATTGTTGAGTGGAGTAGAAATGGCCTTCAGAAGAAGATGGATGGTATAACGCTAGGTGACTCCTCTCAGCTGACCAGCTCCTTAACAAAACAAAACAAGCACTCATGAGGAAAACGTTCTTCCTTCCTTCCTCACCCACAAAGCATGGAAAGGCTTCAATCAAGTTTGAGTTTTCTCCTTTTAAATTTTGTATTTTCTAAGCTACAAAACTACACGGTCAGGGTAACGCAACAACCTAAAATAAAGAGTAACGAGGATCCATAATACAGAAATATAAGGTTGTGGATACTTCTCTGTTATCTTAAGAGTAAGACATGAAGATTACTAATGCAAAAGTATCAAGCAAGCAATCACAATCTCTTTAGTTAAGGTGTAAATATCATAGAATTAAAGTTATGCAGTAAAAATAAACATCAGGCTATCAAAGTTAATCTGTTTTGCAATTTCCTTTCCTCTTATCAAAGTCCAAATTAGTTTTTAGATGGTTTAGGGGTGAAAAGTATACAGACGGAGAGTGATTTCAGCAAAGCGTACTTTATTAATAAACATCAGGCTATCAAAGTTAATCTGTTTTGCAATTTCCTTTCCTCTTATCAAAGTCCAAATTAGTTTTTAGATGGTTTAGGGGTGAAAAGTATACAGACGGAGAGTGATTTCAGCAAAGCGTACTTT